TTTTTTAGTAGGAGTATATTGATTATTGGCGACTAAAAAAAATTTAGTCACCAAAAATGCCACAATTGGCTACTAAAAAATGTTTTAGTCGTTGTATGATTAGTTTTGGCAACTAAAATTAGCTAATCGCCGAATAAAAAATAAAAATTTTGGTTGCCAAAAAGTGTGTTTTCAGCGACTAAAAAATGTTTTAGTCGTTGTATGATTAGTTTTAGCTACTAAAATTATTTAGTCGCCGAATGTAAAACAAAATTTTACTTTTTATCTTTGGCGACCAAACTTTGGTCGCCAAAAGTGTATTTTCAGCGACTAAAAAATGTTTTAGTCGCTGTATGATTAGTTTTGGCTACCAAAATTATTTAGTCGCCGAATGTAAAACAAAAATTTACTTTTTATCTTTGGCGATCAAACGTTTGGTCGCCAAAAGTGTGTTTTCAGTGACTAAAAAATGTTTTAGTCACCAAAGACCTAAAATATTTAAAGGGAGACATTTTAAATTTTGGAGGGTTTATAAAATTAATTGGCAACTAAAAAATTTTTGGTCGCTAATTGTGTAAAATGAAATATATTTTCAACGCCTACCTTTCTTTATTTTCAACCTCTTTCTCCCTCCCTTCCTCCCTCTCTCTCTCTCTCTCTCTCTCTCTCTCTCTCTCTCTCTCATCTTCTCTTCACCTATGGTGGATCTCTCTCATCACCCATAATCTTCTTCAATGTGTTGTAGTACAGAGAAAGAGAAGGGTGTTGCTTCAACATCAGTCTACTGCCATAGCAACTCTGCGACTGTCTACCACCATTGAAGAGGAAGATCAGCAAACAGCAACAACCCAATGCAGCATTGACACCCACCCTCATTCTTCGCTGCTGATGCTGAATTCCCCAAATCAGAGGTATTTTTCTTCAATTCTTTATACTCTAAATTCCCCAAATCAGAGCTTTTTTGGATTTGCAATTCAGTAACGATTGAATTGTATTATTGTATACGTACATACATAGATTGATGAGACATATATCTATGATGGGTTCACCGTCAAAATGTACTGAGTCAAACCGGATACCGAGTCAATCCAATTTGTGTTTCTAAGATTTGGGTTTGGGTTTGTGATTTTCATTAACTGGGTTATGACTCCCATTCGAAGCTCAAACTTGAGCAACAATGGAGTTCAAATAAGAAAAGAAAAAATAGAAGAAGAAAAGAAAAGGGAGTGGTTTGATTTTTGTTCCATTGTGTTTGCTTGATGGGAAATTGTCTTTGCTTTGGGTTTGTAAATAGAACCACAACAATAGTAATTCGCATGCTCTGTGATGTAGGATCATGTATTTTTATCACCAAATTAAGGTTTAATTTTAGGTTTGGCTTATAGATGATTGAGTTTATGGGATTTGCTAAAACATTTTTTAGGATCAAATTTGGGTAATTATCTTTATTATTCTATCCTTTCTTTTAGCAGTAACATCATGGTACTCCAATTTGTTACTCCAATTTTTCTACTTCAAAGTACTTTTTTGCAAGTGTATATAATATTATTGCCTATGGAAATTAATTTTGAAAGATTGAGTTACTGATCTAAAAAGCTTACTCTACTGTAGTTGTACACATTGGTATAATCAATTAGAAGTTGAATATTATGATAGAATGATGTCCACTTTTCACCATAGACCTTTCCCACCGTGAGAAAAAAATAAAATAGAAAACATTGCAGGTCTTAAGATAATATATATGTCTTTGTAAATTTTGAGTTACTTTAGGAATAACATTGTGCTAAGTTTTGAAATTAATATTGTCAATATTGAAATTTATGTCTAATTATGATTTTATTTGGGTTTTTGGTTTATATACATTTTATTTATAGAGAAACTATAAATTGCAAACGTTTTTTTTTTTTCCTTTCTCGTCTCTATTGCATTTGTTTTAATCCCCATTGCAATAAAAGCGAACAAAATCATAATGTAGTTCTTTTGTTGTCCCATTGTTCTTCCTACATGTGAGCTCATTTTTTTCAAAATATGATTCAATTGGTATTAGAAAATATATGTGCTCATTTTTTATGACGTGCTTTTGAGGAGATAGTAAAAGTATATGATTCAAGTGCTTTACTGAATGTTAATTGGGGAGTCTAATTCATTTTTGTTCAACAATTGTCTTAGTGTTCATTTTATTTGCAATTTTCTAACTATAAGGGTGTGCTTTGTGTGATTGATCTGTTTGATTAGCAATTGCTGTTTTATTTTTTACCAAATGTTACCAAAAGAGTGAGATCAAAGGAACTGAATAATAAGTTTCACCATAGATTAATATCCTTCCTTTCTTTTGGGTGATATTACTGATCCAGCTTCTTAATTTTTTATTGGTACATAATTTTTTGTCTAATTATATTATCTAGTATTATTTCTACAAAAATTATTAGGGTTTGGAAGGGATAGAATAGCCATAAAATAGACCCAACAAAACCAAAATGAACATAGATCCATCAAGCCAAAATGGAGAAGTTAATACACAATATTGAGCCAAATACAAACCCACTTTTCCAACATGAAGAATTTTTATTTTTTTATTTTTTTTTTGTCTGTCAAACAGCATTACCCACTCAAAACAATAACTCATTTCTCCCCCCATAATACAAACCCAATTCGTAAATGGTTCAAGCAAATCCATTTTAACAATAAGCTAATTTTATACAAAAATTAAAAACCAAGTACCCAGAAATTCAATGTGAAAATTATCATAAAATTCTTACATTGCAATTGCAAAACACCTTAAAAAATTAAAATATGTTTCATAACTTGAGTTTTAATATGCTATTGACCATATCAAATGAATAAAAAACTTCCAGCAATAGAATTATGGTTGAATTAACCAAATTCAGGTCTTCACAATGTAAACAACTAAAACTAAAATAACCTGATTAATGAACCAACTTCTGACAAAGGACGCAAAAAATATATATAACACAGATTGGGACAGATGATTTGCACTAATTTACCCAACAAAAAAAACACAAGATTCATATGGCTTGATTAACTAATTTTAATTTGGGAAAATATTGGACAAATGGGAAACGAAGAAACTAATTGCAAATCAATTGGTGGAGTGCAAGTGAGAACTATTCCTAAGGCACGTGTTTCTCACTTGCATCAGGGGTACATATGTCAAATGTAAAATGTCCAAAATTTTGAGAAATAGTATTGTTAATATTAATGCCTAATTTACTGTTACTTTTGTGCTATTTCTCTTCATTTATGTGGAAGTTAGAATAAAACTTGGTCTAATAACAGTAAATTTTTACTTTTAGGAATGGAATTAACCAGAGGAAGAACTCCTGGCAAGATGGTGTGTTGGAGACTAATTGCCCTATCCTTCCTAACTCAAACTCCACTTACGAGTTCCAAACCAAAGATCAAATTGGAACCTACGCATACTTTCCATCGACTTTTATGCGTAAAACTGCTGGAGGGTTTGTAGGACTAAATGTATATGCAAGATCTGTGATTCCTGTACCATATCCTGCACTTGTAGCGAATTTTACTTTACTTATTGGTGATTGATACAAGACCAGCCATAAGGTGAGGAATCTATATTTTAATCTATATAGATGACACAATTCTGCATTTACGAGTTCATGTTCTTCATGTTTACTTAAGTATTTTAGTTTTTAGAATCTATCTGAATTTTTTTTGAAAACAATAGCATTGGCAGTGTGCATTTGTTAAATAACTAGAAATACATTATTTTAGCTAATGTTTGCGTTCTAAAACCAATTCAACAATTTTTTTAAAGATAATGAAAATATTATCTCAAAGTCTATCTCATTTTCTAATACTAGTGAGTCAATTTACTTTGAAATGTGACTACAAGAACAGTGCCTGCATGAAATTTACATGCCTGTCATGCTCTAATGGTTTCCAATAAATTATAATTAATTTTTCAATTCTTGATGTTTGCAGGCATTGCAATAATTTTTGAATTCAGGAAAATCTCTTCCCTTTCCTAATGGCATCCTTATAAATGGGAAAACTCAATCTACCTTTAGTGGTGATCAAGGTCTGCCCCATCATTTTTATTATTGGAAAATGTTTAAATAATTTCCAAGTATTTTAATCCTGTCAGAAAAGAAAAAGAAGGATTTGATTAATATTGGTTCACTTTCTTTTGCTTTTCAGGAAAAATCTAAATGTTCAGGATTTCAAATGTGGGCTTGTCGACCTCCATTAACTTTTTAAAAGTTTACTATCATCCTTAGAGTTTATACGAATATAATGGTTTTTGTATTATTCTCTGTTTTGTATGGAATTATTAATTTAGATTGGAATATACTTAGTTTGAATGAAATTTGACATTAAAAATTATTTCTTTTTGAATGATTAGAAGTGAAATAGATGTAAATTGTGAAATGATTAATAATATATGTATCTCTAATAAATTTTTAACGAGCCGAACAATCTTATCCACAACCAAGTAACCATTTGATAAGAAAGAAATTTGGGTAAATTTACCAAACCCATGTTTAATTTTGGGGAAATAACATATCAATTGAAAAATGAAAAAAAATTACAAATTAATAGTAAATATTATAAATTTTCATTATTAAAATTATAAAATTTTTCATATATTTGTAATTATTTTTGGAAAAATTAGGCTGATTTGTAGTTTTCCTTTTAATTTTTGTAGGAGAAATGGGTTGATGACGTGGTGCTTGCGTCCAATCCCCAATGGGCTCCCCTCATCTCACCAACCTCCATTCCCTCTTTTTAAAATCATTTTTGGTTTGGGGCTTTGACGAGTAAGAATCGGCGTTCTTGGACCCCCAACCCTTCCTCTCTCTCACCTTCATGCCACCACCACCACGAGTACAGATATCAATCACACTCATTCACCCTCCCGCCACGTGTCTCCATCCTCCATCGCTGATCTCCATATAAATCCAACGGCCACGTGCATCTCTCAACTAACACGCTCATCTATTTAAGCAATCAAAAATGGCTCACCAAAAACTCAGGAAATTCAACCCTTCAAAAGGCTTTGCAATTTCCTTTACCTCTTAGCTTAGCTTTTTGGATTCAACATATACATATACATACATACATTTAAGTTTTTTTTTTTTTCTTTTTTAAATTTTAAAGCTTTCTAATCATTTTATTCTGATCGCTAAAAATTTTTCCTTCTCCCGTATTTTGATCGTGTTGTCAATAGATTAATTTTTTTTTCACATTAATTTCCCTATGGAATTTCAAAATGGTACAAGTAATGGTCACACTTTATGTGCCCAAGACCCATTGAACTGGGTGATGGCAGCCGAGTCGCTAAAGGGCAGCCACTTCGAGGAGGTGAAGAAGATGGTAGCGGAGTACCGGAAGCCGGTGGTCCGGCTCGGAGGCGAGACCTTGACCATATCACAAGTGGCCGCGATAGCGACCGGTGTCAACACCGGGGTGAAGGTGGAGTTGGCGGAGGCGGCCCGGGCCGGCGTCAAGGCGAGCAGTGATTGGGTGATGGAGAGCATGAATAAGGGGACAGATAGCTATGGGGTGACAACTGGATTTGGTGCAACTTCACATAGAAGGACCAAAGAGGGTGGTGCTCTGCAGAAGGAACTCATTAGGTAAGAAATCAAACTATCTTGTTTTGCTTATTTTTCTTCATTAATTATTATCTTTTTATAGATTTGCATAGGCTGTTTTCCAATTAAAGAGGGTATAGGTCATTAGGTGGTTTCTTTTAAAGATCTGCCAGCTCTATGATTTGGCGGAGAGTAATCAATAATATTAATTGAATCTAGAGAGACGAGTTATTATCATGTAGTTTTTGAAATACATCTGGTAAAGTTTATATGGTATTTTATATAATTCATGTAATGAAAAAATTTAGAAGTGATACATGGGGATTTACGTTTATTTAACAGTTGTGTGATATAAATAATCATTCAGGTACTTTGTATTCAGACTGAAACAATAACTTACAAAAAAAGACTCACTTAGGGAATATTTGTTTGATTCGAACAAAAATAAGGGAATTTGCACTAATAAATGCATTAAACTTGCTTCTTTTTTTTTCTTTTTTTTTTTGTATTTGTGAATAAAAAATATATGTATTAAATGTGGTAGGTACTAATTTATCTTAGATTGATATTTAAAGGAAGTTTTTCTATTAAAAAAATTATTAAAATAGAAAAAGTAGGTTAAATTGTTGTTTTTATTTTTATTTTTTATAAATAGAATATAGGTCATTAAAATATATGTATTAAATGTGGTAGGTACTAATTTATCTTAGATTGATATTTAAAGGAAGTTTTTCTATTAAAAAAATTATTAAAATAGAAAAAGTAGGTTAAATTGTTGTTTTTATTTTTATTTTTTATAAATAGAATATAGGTCATTAAAATATATGTATTAAATGTGGTAGGTACTAATTTATCTTAGATTGATATTTAAAGGAAGTTTTTCTATTAAAAAAATTATTAAAACAAAATAAAAAAATTACAGACCAAATTAAATCCTTTTATTATTATTATTATAATTAACGATAAGCCAAAAAAATTTAAAAAAATAAAATAAAAAAACAAACAAACAAATAAACATTTATACTATTAATTAGAACATCATGGTATTTACTAAATATTTCATAATTATGTAAATATGACATTCCAACCACCAACATTTAAAAAAAATCAAATTATTAAATGATTAACTATTAATTCATCTAAAAGTTTAAATTATTATAAAGGTAGATACTTTTTCGGTAATACTACATGTATCAATTGATATATCAATTAGTGTATTAACATATGTTATGACATTACTATTTTAAAATTATGATCACACTTATTATACAAATTACAAAGACCTAATACTTTTAAAATTATATGACATCACCTATTAATATACTAATTAATACATATAGCATCATTATTTTATTATTTATATCACTAACACACCCCAATACTTCTTTTATGACGGAGAATCCAACTAATTTGTACCTAGTTGAAAACCTTGTGATTAAATTCCGAATATGCTCTGATACTTAAACTAAGTATTTTAGATTTAAAATTTTTTAACCTTTAAATAAATAAATAAAAACTTAGGAGGAGAGAGGAACAAGCTTGTTTGGTTCCAGTTTTCAGAAAATAATTTTCAAAAAATTCTATTTTTTATTTTTTATATTTTAATATTTTCAATGATTCTTTTTAATATTTTAAGCAATTGTTTTTAATTTTTAGACACATCTAACATAAATATATTTTAAAAGTATAATATTTGTGAAAAAAATCTTTAAAAAATACACAAAATACCAAAGAATATAAAAAAATTACAAATATTCAGTACATTTTTCATATTTTTGTGTATTTATTAGATTTTAAAAATATTTTTTCACAAATATTTTACTATTTAGATACATCTAAGTAAGGTGTATCTAAAAAAAAAAAAAAAAAATACTCACTAAAAAAAATAAAAAATAAAAAATTCAGTTTTCATAAAATTGAATTCAGCAAACTGACACCAAACACACTAATTTGTATTAGATATGGGCTGTCAAATCCATCATTGTATGCCCAATAAATAATAGCCGCTTTCATAGGACGGAGTCTGGTCCAATAAATGGATGAATAGGCCCATTTAAACTTGTACTAGGCCCGACAGTTGCCCAAGTCCTAGGCCACACACTAAAATAAAATTCAGTGTTTGGGCCCACATTTGATTGGGAATCACAAAGAATATATGAAAAAACAAAATTCACTTCCTCTAAAAAACAAGTAAATAAATAAAATTCACTTTGACCAAAAATAATACTAAGTACAAACATAATTTACAAACATAATTTTCACTGAATTGTGTGACATTTTGTAATTCTTTCATTTTTAAATCAAAATACTCACTGTTAATAGGTTATAATTTAAAAAATACCACTTTCATTCATTTTAATGATTTCAAGGGATTTAAAAATACTACTTTTATATGAATTGTATTGGTTACTTCTTCTTTTTTATTTTATTTTATTTTATTGACTTCTAGTCTTACAAAAAAATTTATGGAGAAGCCTCCACCAAAATGATGTGGCGGTAATAAAAGTAAAGGATGTGTTGATTTGACCATAAAGTAGAATGTCTAGGAGTCAAAACTCTTATAAATGAGCAGTCAATTCTCTATTTAGTAACAAAAATACTAGTAGCACATAAACAAATCAAAGAATGGGAGATAGACACTCACAAATGTGCAAGTCTCACATAATGGCCTCTTTTGGAAATAACATAGAAAGTTAAAAGTTTATTTTTAATTTATTTTAGATCATATTATCTTTTTTACATATTTTTTTTTAAAAAAAAAATCATAAAAAATTAAAAAATCAATTTTTAACCAGCTTCCCCTGTTGTATACCATTCAATAATTTGTTTTTGTGTTAATGGTGGAAATGACTTTATGTGTTTGATTTTGATACATTAGTTGGTTGATTTTTTTCATTCATTGTTATCTTCAAAATATTATTAATTAGTTCAAAAATATCATACGGTATTATTTGCACAGTATTATTGATAAATATAAAATCTATGTTATTGGCTAGAAATTCTACACTTTTTTTTTTTTTTTTAAAAACCTTTTTTTTTTTTTTTTTTTTTGCGACTACCCAATAATTATCCGTTTTTTATTCCTTGTGAAACTCTTTGTTCGAGTAATTGGGTGATGTTGGACTCACAAAAGAAGTAATTGGGCCCAACCCATCAAAGAGATTTCTACCACTGGAAGTTTACCAAGTCAATCATTCAATTATTCTTAACTGTGTTAATGTACAAACCTGTGTTACTGATCGATTTTTATAAAACTCTTTGGTGCAACAGATTCTTGAATGCTGGAATATATGGAAATGGCACTGAATCATGCCATACTCTTCCTCAGTCAGCAGCAAGGGCCTCAATGCTAGTTAGGGTCAACACCCTCCTCCAAGGCTACTCTGGCATTCGGTTCGAGATCCTAGAAGCCCTTACTGAGTTCCTCAACCACAACATCACCCCATGCTTGCCCCTCCGTGGCACGATCACTGCCTCCGGTGACCTTGTCCCACTATCCTACATTGCTGGGCTTTTGACGGGGAGGCCCAATTCCAAGGCAGTTGGGCCCAACGGAGAAACGCTCAATGCAACCGAGGCCTTCCAGCTAGCTGGCATCAAGACCGGGTTTTTTGAATTGCAGCCCAAAGAAGGCCTTGCATTAGTGAATGGCACTGCAGTTGGATCGGCCCTAGCTTCCATGGTTCTCTATGAAGCCAACATCCTTGCCATACTCTCTGAAGTTTTGTCAGCAATTTTTGCCGAAGTCATGCAAGGAAAGCCCGAATTTACGGACCATTTGACCCATAAATTGAAGCACCACCCTGGCCAAATTGAGGCAGCAGCTATTATGGAACATATTTTAGATGGAAGCTCCTATGTCAAAGAAGCCCAAAAATTACATGACATTGACCCCCTTCAAAAGCCAAAACAAGACCGGTACGCCCTCCGAACATCGCCTCAATGGCTAGGCCCGCAAATTGAGGTCATCCGCACATCGACGAAGATGATTGAAAGAGAGATAAACTCGGTGAACGACAACCCGCTAATCGATGTATCGAGGAACAAGGCCCTACATGGTGGGAATTTCCAAGGGACCCCAATTGGAGTCTCAATGGACAACACTCGCCTAGCCGTCGCTTCGATTGGAAAACTCATGTTTGCCCAATTTTCCGAGCTTGTCAATGACTTGTACAACAATGGGTTGCCTTCAAATCTCTCCGGTGGTCGAAATCCTAGCTTGGATTACGGATTCAAAGGTGCTGAAATAGCCATGGCTGCCTATTGTTCTGAACTCCAATTTCTAGCCAATCCGGTGACCAACCACGTCCAAAGCGCCGAGCAACACAACCAAGATGTGAACTCCCTAGGCTTGATCTCTTCAAGAAAAACAGCTGAGGCTATTGACATATTGAAACTCATGTCATCCTCATTTTTAGTAGCTCTATGCCAAGCCATAGACTTGAGGCACATAGAAGAGAACCTAAAGAACACAGTCAAGAACACAGTAAGCCAAGTAGCCAAAAGAGTCCTAACAATGGGCTTCAATGGAGAGCTTCACCCATCCAGATTCTGCGAAAAAGACTTGCTCAAAGTTGTCGATAGAGAACACGTTTTCGCATACATCGATGACCCAATTAGCAGTACCTATCCATTGATGCAGAAGCTGAGGCAAGTCCTTGTGGAGCACGCTCTTTTGAACGGTGAAAGAGAGAAGAATTCAAGCACTTCAATCTTCCAAAAGATAGGTGCATTTGAGGAAGAACTAAAAGCCCTTTTGCCAAAAGAAGTTGAGAGTGCAAGGCGTGATGTGGAGAGTGGAAAGGCAGTGGTTGGAAACAGGATTAAGGAATGTAGGTCATACCCATTGTACAGGTTTGTGAGGGAAGAGTTAGGGACTGGTTTGTTGACCGGTGAGAAAGTCAGGTCGCCGGGGGAGGAGTTTGACAAGGTTTTCACGGCTCTCTGTGGAGGGAAGTTGGTTGATCCATTGATGGAGTGTTTGAAGGAATGGAATGGAGCTCCTCTTCCAATTTGCTAGTTAGTTAATTAGGATGTTTTAATTAAATTGTTAATTAATATTACCACCATATATAAATTTGTGTATGTGAACATTACATTTATGGTTCTTTTCTGTAAGTTGTAATCTTTTAAATGTGATCTCAAACTGTTTATGAAGATTGTATTTTTGTTCTTGAATCTTTCTTTGTCATTCGTTTACACTTCTCGTTTACGCACATATTCAATTTGAGATATGTTTGTTACGTAAAATATTATGAAGTTGGTTAAATTTTTAAACTCAACTTGATTATGTTTATGCGAATTATAAAATATTAAACTAATTAAACTAAACTCGATAATAAATAAATAAAGATTCAACACAATTTTAGAACTTACTAAAATTTTGAACTAAACTTAAACAATCAAAGATACAACACAATTTTAAAACTCATTAAAATTTTGAACTATACTTAAACAAGTGTAAGACTCGGCTCTTCCCTTACAAGCTGCACAGTTACTTGTAGTATAACTGAATTTTCAAAGATAGAGAATTGTAAACAATTACTATGGTTGGGCTCTTATACACTGCATAACCCTGGTGGTTTGCATTTTGTTGGTGATAATTACAAATAAAATACCAGAAAATACAAATAATAAAAATTACAATAACTATTGTAAGGGCTGAGACGCAGAAAATTCGTTCTCTTTAAGGAGATTCAACCCCTCTGCGGTTAGGCAAAGCCTCACACCGGTGCAGTAGAAAAAACCTTACTTATCCCCCTTAGGATACAACAGCCCGACTAAGTCGTATGGTTTACCAATACTGCACAATTGGTTGAACCCAAACTTTATCACATACATCCTTTTTTATTTGCCTGATAATCTCACACAAACATAATAAAGCAACAAAAACTTCTTCTCACATCCAAGATAAGAAGTTAGATCAATTTATAGGAGATGAAAGCTTGGTGGACAAATTTCTTGGAGGAGGATTCTTGGAAGTTGCTTGGAGGCTCCTTGGAAGTAGCTTGGAGGATAAGACTTGACCCTTGGAAGACTTAGAAGAAGACTTGACTAGGCAAAGACTTGGAAGACTTGAAGGATTCTTGAAGACCAAGAAAGGATTAACTTGGAGGAAAAGAAAACAAATCAAACCAGTAGCACATTATAATATTGAAATATATGCTAACATTCCCCCACCTATTTTAATATTATAGGTAACAAAAACTGAGATTATTTGGCAAATAAGGATATTATGCATCATGGTAGGTGTGCTCTGCATTGAACCTCCATTAGTGAAACAATAATATCTATTCCAGAGCCAATAATATGCTCAACATTGAACTATGATTACTTAAGGGAAATAAATAATTATTGCACACATATAATATTCCAGATATTCACATAAGCTTTAAAAGCCAGCACGTTACGGCCTTGTGCAATCCCAGGATTCATGAGTGTGTCTGAGAATTAGCTTAAATCTCATAGGTAGCGGCCCCACTACCACACTCACATAGGTGAATTCTGTCAAGAGTGCTCCTGTAACTATGACATCCCACTCAATAAGAGTTACAGAAATTCATTAAAAGTTTTTTAATAACTCAACATCTACAACGTTACTAGATAAATGCACTTACATCATAGGGATGGGTAAAGAGTAACTTAGTGCATTTCTCACGGCCATCATATGATTGTTTTTCTCATTGAACCCAGTTATAGGATCTCTGGTCCTTGCGTTGAGTATCCTCATACATGGCTCCTGCTATATTTAATGAGCTTCAACCCCACCCCCCTCGATGTATTCTAGACACCATCTCTTGCTAAGGCCTTAGTTAATGGATCTGCAAGATTATCACCAGATTTAATATAATCCACATTTATGATGCTATTATTCATATAAGATCTCACAGTACTGTGTTTTCTTCTGATAGGTCTGGATTTACCATTATAATAACTGTTATTAACTCGACCAATTACTGCGGTGCTATCACAATGAATCAATATAGGTGGAATCGGTTTTTCCTAACAAGAGATTTCATTTAACAAATCTCTTAACCAATTTGCTTCTTCATTGGCTGTAGCTAAAGCAATAAGTTCAGCCTCCATTGTTGAATTAGCAATAATGGTTTATTTTTTCGATTTCCAACTTATAGCAAAAGTAGATGGACGACGTCTTGCTCTCTTACTCTCACTTATCTCAAGATTCTACTTAGGTAAAACAACATCACTTTGTTTTCTCTTCCTCCCACTATTAGGTTGTTATGGGAGAACTTGCGGTTCTTGAGACAAATAAGGAAAAGAAGAATCTTGAGATACCTTGGAGAGAAATTTAATTTGTTCAAGTGGAGTAACTAGATCAGTGGATTCAAGAAAAATAGTATCGCTACTTTCTATCAATCCACGTTCAGGATGGTAAAAATGATAATCACTCCCATTTTCGACATATCCAATAAACTTACATTCCCAAGTTTTACTTTCCAATTTATCTCTTAAAGGATTGGGAATAAGTACATGTGCTTTTTCGAACATTAGGTTTAGTTCTATTCTAATGTTTATAAGGAGTTAGAGATTTGGCCTTTGTTTCAACTCTATTTAATATGTACGCAGCAGTGGACAAGGCTTCTCCCCAAAACTGAATGGGAAGATCAGCATGTGCCATCATAGACCTTATTAGTTCCATTAGAGTACGATTTTGTCTTTCTACAATCCCATTTTGTTGTGGAGTGTATGGCATTGTAAACAAATGTTATATTCCATTTTCCTTACAAAAAGAATCCATGGCTTCATATTTGCCACCTCTATCATTATTCAAGTTTTTAATGGACTGACCAAGTTGTTTTTCTACCTCTAATTTGTAGTCTTTAAACTTTTCAATTGCCTCTGATTTGTGTTAATAAGGTAGATGTGTCCATATCTTGAATAATCATCAGTGAAAGTAATAAAGTATTCCATGCCTCGATGAGTCTTAGTTCTTAAAGAGCCACAAATGTTAGAATGAATTACTTTAAGTAATTTCGACGATTTTCAATGTTTTGAAAATGGCTTGCTAGTCATTTTTCCTTTGATGCATGGTTCATATTTATCAAAATCATTGGGACACACTTTAGGTAATGGTCCACTTTTGCACATTCTAGACATTTTATTTTTATTAATGTGATCTAATCTTAGATGCCATAAATAAGAACTATCACAAGTAGAGACATGAAAATAATCAGAAATACATACTTTATTATTATCAATAGGAAGATAGTACATGTTATTCACTCTTGCACATTTCACTAACACACTTCCTTTCTTGATTGACATTGTGTCAAACCTAAAATTAATCTCAAAAACTTTTTGTCCTAAAACTAGAATTGAAATTAAATTTGTTCAGATGCTAGGTACATAAAGCATATCATGAAGTACGATACAAGATCCATTAACAGAGAATTTACAGTTGTCGATGCCCAAAACATCACTGTAAGGGTTGTTGCCCATATAGGCTTTGTGTTCACCAACTTTCTTTTCAGTGAAATCCACTATGTGTCTAGTTTTTGCAGAATCAATCCACTGTGAATTTGATGAAGGTTCAATTACCATTGCTTCAAAAACCATCATGGCAATGGGGTTGTGATCCTTTCTCTGCTTGTTCTTAGGGCATGTGGCTTTGATGTGACCTTCTGACTGCAATTGTAGCATGGGCTTGACTGGTTCTTATTGCTTTTTTTTTTGCCACCCTTGCTACTTCTGCTACCCTTTCTGGAGTCCTTTCTTCCATCTATTCTTGAAATGAGTAGTCTTCTTCTTATTGAATGGCGTATAGGAACTATGCTGTGATTGTGTTGAAGATTGTGCCATAAACAAGTTAGAAGACAAGCCTTTTCTGTGCCTCTGTTTCATTTTTTCTTTGTCCAAAACTAAGAGTACATGCAAAGTTACTATTGACATCTCTCTTTCGCTATATGTTAGAGATGTAACAATATGATCCCAAGTCAATCGAAGACTATTAAGTATGATAGTTATTTGCATCTTGTTCGACAAAGGATGATCAGCGTGGGATAATTCTTTAGCAATTAACGCTATTTAATTAACATGATCACCAACACTGTCATTTTCACTCATACGAGCGTTACTGTATTCGTCTAAGAGAAATTGTATTTTGAGTGACTAATCGAACTCTATACTTACTTTCTAGTGCTTCCATCATTTGTTTTGCAGTCTAATGTTCTTTAAATAGCGGAATACTATTATCTTTCATGTTGTGTAACAAAGTAGCCTTTGCCATTGCATCGTTCTCTATCCATTTGTTTTTTAATCCAATTAGAATCATCATTTGTTTTATAAGTAGAAAGAGGTATGCAAAGTTTTCTCATGTGTAAGAAGATAAGAAATGTTGCGCTTCTATGCTCAGAAATTGTATCCATTAAGTATCTCAATTCTTTAAGCATTAATGGCTCTTTCAATTGCCATTACAAAAATGTGTACTATTAAATAATGTTAAATATATATACGCAATTGTGGATCCAAGTTTATTAGGAAGAATAATATTAAATATAATTTGCTGCATGTATTATTAATAGATTATGAATATAAGTATTGGGACGCCTGGGTCAGCAGAGGTAGACCACACGCATGTGGGCTGCTACTTGATTATTGGGCCCTTTTTTTTCTTTTTCTTTTTTTTTCTTTTTTCTTTTTAACTTAAGATCTGGACCAAAAACAAATTAAAAAAAAAACAAAAATAGAACCTTTGCATGAATATAAGTATTGGGACGCCTGGGTCAGCAGAGGTAGACCACACGCATGTGGGCTGCTACTTGATTATTGGGCCCTTTTTTTTCTTTTTCTTTTTTTTTCTTTTTTCTTTTTAACTTAAGATCTGGACCAAAAACAAATTAAAAAAAAAAACAAAAATAGAACCTTTGCAACATTAGTACAACCGTTGGCTTCTTCTTCTCTGGTGATAGGGTGGGTAACCAAAAATAGAAATGGATTTTGCAACAACAATTTGTTTTTGTCGTTTTTCATTAGAAAAATCAATGGCTCTACTGAAATTTTGAAATGAACAAGATAAAGGAGATGGAGACGCGTTTTCACAACTTGAAAAAAAAAAAAAAATTTGATTTGTAAAACTTCTTCTACTTGACGGTATTTAAACTTGATTTCGGCAATTGATCTTCTGTCGTTTCAAACCACAATAACTTTGGATGCACTGT